AGCTCTCGATGTATTGTCAGAACAAATACTACCCGCATACTTTGACGATACATTTTCTGGTTGCACAGTTGAATGCGTTTTCAATTTTTCGAACCATTCCGAGATGCGTGAATCAAATTCCGATTTTTCACGCTTCAAATCATTAGTCACAGGAAAGTCAGTAATCTCTTTACCTGCACTTTCAGGAATCATGTCAATTAAAGAGATTAGCTGCTGGAACACTTCATCAACTTCTAGCCTTACTACTGACAACTTTTTCAGCGTTTTCACGTTGAAGCATCAAACGTTCAGCTATCAAATACTTTTCCTGCAAAGCAGATCGCAAAATGTCCAACTGCTGCTTGGCCTTGGATTCCATTATAGCTTGAACGATGAAAGTCTTGCAACCTTGAACAGTATCTTGTTAATTATCGACGTCTTGTTGCAAGACACAATAAATGAGTCGAAAACTTTTTGCACCCAGCAAAAAGGCACTAGTTGAAAAATTTTTGCACCCAGCAGAAAAGGCAATAGTCTGAACTTTTTGCAATCAGCAAAAAGGAAAAAGTCGAAAACTTGCAGAAGTCGAAAACACAGTCGAAAACTTTTTATGTAGAAGCTTGACGGGGTGTGACCTTATGCACCCTGCTTGCTACACAAAGACGAAGGGCGCTGAAGCGTGCGCCAATATTTTCCAGTCTAAACGCTCCAGTAGTCTATCCCAATACTATGTTCGGTCCAGACAATCCTCTCCAAATTATTCCTGCCTTATAACTGAGATAAGCAAGCTGAAGTCCACAAGCCCACAATACATAACTTCAAACACAGGTCAATCAGTAGGCAGATCTAACATTTATTGACCAACTCAAACCATCGACTGGCCGGAAACTCCGGCCAAGACAAAACGTGTTACGTAAATCGAATGAGTAGTCATGCGATTTATGACGTAATAAATACACCACAGGTCAGACCGTATAGAGCAGTGTTTTTCAACCTTTTTCGAGCCAAGGCACACTTTTTTCAGTGAGAAAATCCCGCGGCACACCACCAGCTGAAAATATGGGGAAAAGACCTAATATTCACAATATAAGTGTTTTATTGTTAATATAAGATTTTTGAAATTGAAGAAAGATGTTGAATAGGACATCCTGAATAGTAATCAAATAAAAACAAAGACAAAAAAAAATCGCCACCTAATGCTGCCACTATCTGATATAGAACAGTACTACATGATTACTCTGCCGGGCGCCACACCGCATAGCCACACAACTTGGAGAATTTCCCACGGCACCCCTGACAATATTTAACGGCACACCGGTGTGACGCGGCACCCCGGTTGAAAAACACTGGTATAGAGGACTTGCACGGGTCACGTGACTTTGTTACTGGACGACAATAAAACAAAAACGTGCATTTGGCTCCTGTCAGTTGCAAGTCGGATTATACGTTTCCGTTTTGTTTGGCTGTTGAAAATGGTTATTTCGTATTGTTCCGTTGGCTGTACGTATAGTTTAGACAATGAAATGGATCTTCAGTTATATTCCACTGTTTTCAAAAGCTCCGAACGTCGCGCAATGTGGATGTCATCTATTGCCTATTGCATTGACAGAACTGCTTGATGTCAAGTCCAGAAGCCATCTTACATGTGTTTCACTGTTTGCGTTGATGGTGAGTGATAATGTAGTGATAGTGTGCCGTTATCAATTTCTTTAAATATTCACAAGCTCCCTCATTTCAATGGAAAGCAGATGACAAACTACTGTATTAGTAGGCCTACTCCAGTACTGCAGTTGCAGACTGACTTGTGAAAGACAGTAAGGAATTAATAATCAATTGCTATAAGGTATTGTTTTTCTTAATCAGCAGGTAATCTATTACTAAGTGTGAAAGGTTGAATAGATAACTAAAGTTTATTTAACACCAGTGGTCATGCAAAAAATAACCAGAATTCAATTGAATTCGCCATCTAGGAATACGCTCGCCACCGCATCTCTGATCACCCTGGGAGTTTCACAGGTTTCAATCACCAGCGGTTCACACGAACGCTGATCGGTTACGACCATTCCCCACCATCCAAGTCCATGCTTCTGAAAACAAATAACTGGCTCCGCCTCCCCCCCCCCCAACAACTGATCCAAAATGTCTTTTTATTGTCATTGGTTAAAAAGATATGCTACCCGGAATCAAATTCATTTACGACAATAGTGGCTGTGGTGGGATATGGACCTAAATTTCACACTCCTTGATCGTTAGATTTTATGAAAACTCTTATCTGTATCCATTATCATACAGATATGGGTGCGACCATGGAATAGATGGATGGCAAAGTATAAGTTGCAACAAGACCACAGTGGCACAAGACCTCAGCTTGCGTGACTTGATAATACATCCTCAGTATCCATTTATTGATGCTTATCGTAATGACAAAGTAACTTGTGATTACTGTGGATTGGTGGAGATAAAGTGTCCATTATGCTTTAACGAAAGCAACTTCAAGACGACCCTATCAGGAAAAAAATTGTTTCGGTGGGTCTGGTAGTAAAGGTTTCAGTCTGAAGTTGGACACCGATACTACAACCAGATACAGTTGCCTATGAAACTTAGCGAGGCGTAATATTGCGACTTTGTGATCTGAAAGGAAATTCTGACGGGTAGCCGGCTAGCCGCAACCTTTTTGTTTAAAGAATATTATGAGATATGACTTAAGAGTCTAAACTTTTATTTGAGAGGGGTGTAACCCAAGCTAATTTGCAAATGGTATTCATGGTACCAAATATATCACACACTTTACAGTAATTATAAATTATATTTGAAAAATAAAGCACATCACAAATGTATTTTTAAAAAACAATTGGTTTTATCTGCAGATACTAGATTGAGATTGACCATTTCAATGCTAAATCTTCTTTAGTCAAAAGGCACACTTGATTCGCAAAGATTTGTGAATGCGCACAGTACACCATCTGTCTAATGTTTTGATTCCACAGGCAGGAGGTTGTGGATCGGTGCTGCTCAGGATGGGATATTTTTGCCTCTAAATGCATATTACGTGTTTCACATGAATCCATCATGCTCAGATTCGACTGTTTTTAAGGTCTGAAGGCTTCAACAGCCTTATTTCATGGGTACATAAGAGAATTTTCAGTGTGGCATGCATGGGTCAGTTGGAGTCACTAACCTCAAGATATCTATATCAATCAATCAATCATTTATTCGTCGTCACAAAAACATCAAATGCACAAAAAATTGGTACAATAAATAAATATAATAATAATGATATTTGTGCGACAGGAGTCGCGAGGGACCATATTAGGTCTTCAAGCAGCGACACCTAAAGCGCTGTTACTGGTTCAGTGTAAAAAAATAACTACATTTGCTACAAACATTGACTATGCAATAGTCGTTATGATGAACTATTTTGAATCATGAAAAAATTCGCAGCAAACGCAACTTTTACTAAAATCAATAATAGAGAAAAAAAAAAGAAAAACAACTCAACTATAAATTTAATAAAAAAGGCATATTTGAATAAATGTATATAAGTTACATAAACGACAAGCGAGGGGAAAATGGTTTAGACCAAAGACAAATTGTAAGTGATTAATTGAATAGAAGTTGGTAAGCTCTAATAAATCATAAAACGTGATATGTATATATATATATACAATACGCCTCCACAGCAAGTGGGCATAAATTTACGAAAGAATGGTAGGCATATGCTTGCTCAATAAATTAAAATATAACGAATTTTGGCATTTTAGTGTAGAGGTTGCACCAAAGGTTGGTAAAGTTAAAGTACCGGGTACTTTAAATAGGACTCCTTACACCTATAGTTCCTCCGGCTTTTTGGGCAGCCATGGCGACAGTCTACAAATGCGACTGCTGGAGCTATGGGACAGAAGATGGCGAATCATACTGAATACTCCAATCAATGGCTGATGGAAGAGAGATAATAACTAATATATTACTTTTTAGATATAATTTGAAACCGTAATAGCCTAAAGATTTAATGGTACTTGGTAAGGCATTCCACAGTTTCACACCCGTGTATTTTATGGATTTCTGTGTCCTGCTTGATGAATATCTTGGGACATAATATGAACTTGACGAAGCTGATCTAGTAGAGTATGAATGGATATTACTCTGCATTCTGAAAATTCCCGCGAATGCCATGGGAAGCTTGTTATCGAAGTACTGGTGCATTGAGTTTCAGTATCTCAAATTCATGGTTGATATGACCAAGCTTAATAATTCGACACCTGTGGTACAAAGGATCTAGTCTAGATCGGAAAGGTGGCACTACATATGGCTCTAATTGCTTTGTTTTGCAAAAACTTCTAATCTGTGGAGTAGAGTCGATGACGCACTACCCCAAGTTATAATGCCATACTGCAGATACGACTGGAAAAGAGAAAAATAAACCAATCGGAGAGCTGGCATGGTGAGGAATTTTCTTAGTTTAAATATAAACCTGTTGCACTTGACAACTTTCCAGCAATGTAATTAATGTGTGATGTCCATTTTCAATTGGTCATCAATGTGGATACCTAGGTATTGTATGAGTTGACATTTTCAAGTGGAACCTTGTTAATATTAATTTGAAGGCCGAATTTTATTTTTTTCATTTATCCTGGGACTAATTAATAAGCATTTTGATTTTTCAATATTATGGTGAGTTTATTTATGGTCATCCACGGTTGCAATTTTTTTGCATTTCAGAATTCATCCCGCAATTCCAAGTCGTTTGGCGAAGCTGAACTTTCCAAACAAACCGGGTATCGTCAGCGAAGAGTTTGACAGTAATTCAGTGGCATGGAGAAGGTCATTGACATAATAGAAATAAACATTATCGGTCCAATGATCGATCCTTGTGGAATTCGGCATTGTAACAGTAGAGAGTTTGGAGCAATTCGAACCAAATTTAACACATTGCTGACGTGAACTCAAATAGCTCCTGAAAAAAGTCAACGCGTGACCGCGAATACCATAGTGGCTCATCTTTCTTATTAGAATGTTATGGTCGACAGTGTCGAACGCCTTTTTGAGGTCAAGGAAAATAGCACTAATGTATTCCTTTCTCTCTATCTTGTCATAAATATGAGTCACCATATCAAGCATTGCATGGTTAGTAGAATGCTTTTTTTGAAATCCAAACTGTGATTTGTTTATGATGCTATGTTGGTCTATAAATTGGATTAGCCTACTATGTATAATTTTTTCAAAAACTATAGTCATCGTAGAAAGAACCGATATTGGGCGATAATTCGATGCACATTCTTTATCTCCTGTCTTGTATACAGGTGAGACTTTGGCAATTTTTAAACAATTTGGGAATATACCATAGTCTATGGAAGCATTAAATAGTTTACACATCATGGG